CCCCCCCTCTACCTTAAAGCGGACCTTTACACTCAGAAATCAAATTCAAGCAATGCATCCCTCTATGTATGATGATTGTTAATAACCTAGACAGGTCTAAAATGACTTCAGTTTGCCAAAGCGATGCACACTGGGATTGCCTTGTCATCAGCAAAGCATTGCTGGGAAATCTCATCTGTAATCACACGAGATCTCAGGAAAAGGCATTTTCCTTCTCCGAGATGATGTGCATGGTCACATGTCCTAGTCACATGTGCCAGAAATCCAGGAAGTAAAGAGAGCACTAGTAATCTTCCCCTAGTAAGCATGGCTAGAAGACTGGGGAGGAAAAGAGAATTAAGGGCTAGTTCATACCAGCCCCAGTGCGTTGTGGCCCGATTTGGTGCCCGATCACATCCTGGCCGGCGTGGTGCATTGAAGTCAATGACACCGGAGTGCGATTTGCCCGCATCGAAGCACATGGCACATGAATGCCTGCATTCCGTTCTGGTGTAATCAGAAAAAATAGTGCATGCTGCATTTATTTTTTTTCTGATCGCACCGAAATGCAGGCCATGATGTGCCACGTGTTCTGGTGTGGGCGATGGTAAATAATGTCACCAGCACACCAAGTAGATAGATTCAGCAAATGTCCATTTTTAAAGACAATTGTCATTCAATAGCAAGTACTTTCGGGGCCTCGCAGGGTCCCCATCAGGCTCAGGAGGGGGGGCGCGCGCGTGGCTGCGATGCCATTGACTTCCATGCACCAGCCCGCCCCTGAATGGAGGGAGCCAGCCGGAACGCACTGTTTGTGGTGTGACCTAGCCCTAAAGGTCTGTTTTTAACTCCATAACGTAGGGGAGGTGTTACATAGTTTAGAGAACTGGGCATGGCTGATGACGCTGCTTGAGATTTGCACAGGAAGTGATTGGATTTGTGGCAGGATCAACATTCGCAATTTGCAGAATGAGAACGATATCTGTGGCCTCCGTGTTTCTCAGGAAAGACGCGTTCTGTTTTGGTTGTGCAGTGGGCCAGTAAAAATGGATTTTATTTTTGATGTTTTTCAGGCTGTGCCGCCTTAATCATTTACTACACTCTCCTGCACCCGAAATCCACCGAGATCTCCCAGAGCTGTAAGAAAAATGGAAGGAATCGCACCAAACCAGACGCCTCTGGTCTTTCTTCCAGATGGTGGGGCCGAGCTTCTAAGAAAGAGGCCGATGACTTGTTTGGGAAAGAAGAACTGGGTCCAAAGACTGAAAACCGGGAGGGTGCTGCAGGCGACGAAGACCTCCCCTGGATGAAGGTCGCTGACCAGAGGCATCACTTGCTTCTATTGAAGCTCGCCATGAAAACTGGAAACATGTCGAAGATCAACGCTGCCTTTGGCGAGGGGGGATTCGGGGACCTCTTTTCACTTGGGTGCGCACAGAATGTCCAGCAGTCCTTCATTCAGAACTATGTCTTGGATGGAAAACAATCCGAGAACCCTAAAACTATTTCTTTAAGGTCTAGCCCATGTATGAAGGATCCAGGGCAAGCTGACATTGGCCAGGATCATAAACTTATTCTACATGAATGTTCTTCTTATGTGACACTCGGAAACTCCAAAACTGGTGAATGCGCTGACCCAAAGGATGTGCAGAACCACACAAATGATTTGGGGTACTCTGGAAAATCCTCAGGTGTTGATGTTTCTGGTTCTCCAAACGAGGGACCCCATGGAAGCCGAACATTGTACTTTAGCGCGCACGCTGAAGGAATGGTTCCACCAGGGAAGGATTCCCACTTAGATGTTCCAGAAACTGGCTTGAAACTTCAGACTGACAGCCCACTGAAAGAGTTGCCGGAGATGGAGTGCGTGAATATTCCGGTTATGTGCGTCAGCCCAATTCTGAGTCTGGCCGCCAACTGCAATTTCCAGAGGAGCATCGGAGACGATACAGGGAGCCTGTGTGAGGAGTCTGATGTATCTCATGATGACTCTGGACTTCCAGAAACAGAGGAACCTTGGCTGAAACGAGGGTTTTGTTTGCTTCCACCTTCTGTAAGAGGAAGGCTTGTCCAGGATGAGAAGCCTTGTTTCACCTCCACCCCCAAACCACCAGCCACCAATGGGGAATCGGAACCACGAGAGTCGGCAAAGGCCAGGAGAAGGCTTGACCAGTTGACTGAGGGAATCTAGACACATGGAAGGTCTCCGAAGTTGACTGAGGGAATCTAGACACGTGGAAGGTCTCCGAAGTTGACTGAGGGAATCTAGACACATGGAAGGTCTCCGAAGTTGACTGAGGGAATCTAGACACATGGAAGGTCTCCGAAGTTGACTGAGGGAATCTAGACACATGGAAGGTCTCTGAAGTTGACTGAGGGAATCTAGACACGTAGAAGGTCTCCGAAGTTGACTGAGGGAATCTAGACACATGGAAGGTCTCCAAAGCTAAAAAGAGGTTCATGGTCATGATGTAGTACCCATGTCCTCCATAGGATGGGTAACCTAGAGCATGCTCCATAATGTGTCTTAAAATGCCTGGAATGTCTACATTGATCCCCCGTATTGGATACGGAGAGAATAACGATAAAATCCCGTCCAGTGGAGGAAGAGTATGAGGGATTTGTTAGGGAATTCAGTGTTGATGGTCCATTACCTTTTCAACGTTCAGTCCAGTGTGCAATTAACCGTTAGAAATAATATTTAATGCCTTTTGTAATCTGATATATTTATTCTTTGTTTCTACACAATCAGTGTTTTGTTATGTATTAAGTCCTCAATGGTACGTGTCTGTTGATGTTTCCAGTCTCCCGACTACAGGGGACCAGATTGATGTAGGAGGTCAGTGCATTCCAGCGGGCAGTATTGGGAAGCCAGAGATCCTGTGCCGCCTTTGACAGTAATGGAAAAGCCTCAAGTTTTGGGGATGTGCTGTACATTTTATAGGAGCATCGGGTCTCTGGCTGCTGGGATTTGTCTAGGCCTACTCCACTCCTGTGCTCATACATGTGAAGATGAAGCCATCAAGCTTGCCTTAAAGGAGAACTATGAGGTGACTGAAAATCATTCATCCTCGTAGTTCGAGCCGACGTGTGACAATGAAACTGTCACACGTCGGCTCAATAGATCGGGACGTGAGTGGATGCATACCGTCGCTCGCTCACTTCTCGATCGTCTCTCTGCAGAGAGCCGTAACTGTCAGTCACCACTCACCGCAGGGATTCTCCTCTCCAGCGCTGAGTGGAGGAACAGCTGGGGAGGTGGCGGGCACATCTGGCTCTGCCTCTAGATAGGCAGAGCCAGCTGTCAATCACGCAGCTGGGTGGATCTTGACAGCATTGTCGGGTTCCGTCCCGGCTGCGGCGTCTCAGTACACCGCGAGCTGTAGCTCGCTATATACTGAGCTTTGGGTCACGGGAGGACGCTACTATACGTCCTCCCGTGACCCTTAGGAGAACTATGGGGAAAAACACTTACCCCATAGTTCTCTTTAAGCTCCAGTCTGATTTTGGCTTAGACGCCTATGACCCAATCCAAAAAAGTGTTCTTTTGTGCATTACAAATGTACTTGTCATTAGGGGTCGACCGTATATCTGATCTACCGATACTTGAAAATTGGCCCCGATTATCGGTTCTTTTAATTGACTGATATTACCAATACTGACAGTGCATTGGCAGTGGGTGGGTACATAGCTAGCCTGTTATTGGCTATTGCAATTTGAAATGACCAATACCAGGCTGGATTTTTGCACTGCCTGCTCTTTACATTAAGCTACCGGCTGCGGAGATCTTGCCGCTGGCAGGTGAACACATAGCCAGGTCACTGGAAATACAATAGTTCAGGCGTGGTTTTTCTGGTTCGTATTGGTGCGTGGGCAGCCCATTAAAATTAGCAATACGCCGATACCGGATTTTCGGTATCGAGTACGGGTACTGATATTTATATTTTAGGAACTCGCCGGTACTTCCGCTACGATGGAGCCCGCCTTCCGGGCAATTAAGAAGCCGGGCGGTGGGTAATGACCCGGCCAATCGGCATCGTGCTGGCCAAACAGCATAGAGCCGGCCAATAGGGAGGCCGGTCGGTGAGTCATTACCCGCCACCCGGATTCCTGATTGATTGGGAAGCAGGCTCCATGTTCCCTCGCGGCATTGCTGGCCAGAGGAAATCTCCCTCTGACCGGAAGTTCCAGTATCGGAGCATTTGGGGAGTATGAGTATTTGCCCAAATACTCGGTAACGACACCGATACTAGTATAGGTGCATTCTTAATTAAAACAAATTGCCTTAAAGGAGAACTATGGGGTCCGGGCCTTTCCCAATGGTTCTCCTAAAGGTCAGGGGAGATCACAAGCTAGCGTTCTCCCGTCACCCAAAGCTCAGTATACCGCGAGCTACAGCTCCCTATATATTGAGACCGCCACAGCCGGGACGGATCCTGACATTACTGTCTGGATCCGCACGCTGCGTGAGTGACAGCTGGCTCTGCCTATCTAGAGGCAGAGCCAGCTGTACCCGCCTCATCCGTTCCGCCAGTCAGCGCAGGAGGATCAGACGGGAGGAGGGGGAATCCCTGCAGTGCGCTGTGAGTGACGTCACTGCAGGGAGATGATCGTGAAGTGAGCGAGCGCCGGTATGCGTTCTCTCACTGCCCGATCTATTGACGCGTGACAGTCTCATTGTCACAGGTCGGCTAGAACTACGAGCCTGAGTGCAAATCACTCACCTCATAGTCCTTTTAATGCAACTGCCCGTAAAAATCTGAATGGGGCCTCTATCTTTGCGTATGAGCCTTTAGTGGAGCAGGAAGAGGCGCTATCTCCGCATGTGGAGAGCGGTTAGAGCAATGGTAGCCAAACTCCGTCCCCCCAGCTGTGGGTGAAACTACAACTCCCAGGATGCATCTCTCTCCGGGGAGTCGTGGCTGTGAGAATCTTGCAATGCCTCATGGGATTTGTAGTTCCACCACAGCCGGTGTTTGGCTCCCCCTGGGTTAGTCTATAGAACTATGTCCTATTTTGGGTAGACGTTGCACAGAAGATAACTTTCCTATATGTCAGGTACAAACCGCGTCCTGTTACCGGGGATGATGTCATGAACTGTATGCAGTTTATCAGCTTGCCTCTTGTAGACGTAGCACATTAATATGAACGTAATCCCTGCTCACGATGCCAGCTCCTGTCTATTCTTCAATGTCTGGACTATATATTCTCCTCGTTGGCTGGACCAGGATAAAAAAATAACTGCAAAAGGAGCTTTTTCCTTCTCTGTGTAAAGTTTTGATGCTTGATGCAGACGCAGACACCCCGGAGGGACCTGAGGAAGCTGTTTTGTTTACATCAGATCATCTCATGAATGCACTTCTTCTCCTTTAAGCTCACACTTGGTATGAAAACTGGAAAGGACATTTGCCGGTGTCTGTACATTCTATGCTCGGGTACACTCCTCGTCATTTATACAGTTTTGTAATGTTTAGTGACTTAAAGGAGAACTATGGGGTCAGGGCTTTTCCCCATAGTTCTCCTTAGGGCCTGTTCACATGATATCAGGTGCGGATCTGCAGACGCGGTGCTACTGATGCAGTGCGTTTTGGCCGCGTTTTTGATGTGTTCCAGTTAAAAAAAATATATATATTTTTGCTGGAGTGGGGCTGTCAGTATGTTAGCTGCAGTGCGTTTTTGACGCGTTTTGCGTTCCGTTTCCTGACCGTACAAAATGTGACATGCAGTATTTTTCTGTAGTAAGCTGAACGGACTGCGCACGTGAGAACTGTAGCCCATAACACACACAGGGATACATTGGGATGCATTTCTAGTGCGGGAGCTTACCGATCAGGTCAGCACAGAAAACGGACGTTGTGTGAACAGGCCCTGAAGGGTGACGGGAGGACACAAACTAGCGTCCTCCCGGCACCCTAGGCTCAGTATATAGGGAGCTACAGCTCGCAGTATACCGAGACGTCGCAGCTGAAGCGGATCCCGACAATTGTGCCGGGATCCGCCCAGCTGCGTGAGTGACAGCTGGCTCTGCCTATCTAGAGGCAGAGCCAGCTGTACCCGCCCCCTCCCCCGTCCGTTCTACCAGTCAGCACTGGAGGATCAGAGCGGGGAATCCAGCCCCTCCCCTGTCACGGCAGAGAGCTGTGACAGGATCGAGAGGTGAGCGAACGCCGGTATGTGTTCACTCACCTCCCGATCTACTGAGCTGACCTGTGACAGTCTCATTGTCACGGGTCGGCTAGAACTATGAGGGGAGTGATAAGCACCCCTCCCCCCCTCATAGTTCCCCGTTAATAATAATGATATATTCATAGATACTTTTTATAAGAAACTTCCTTCATAAGTGGGCCGGTTTGCCCGAGTTCTGAATGACAATTCTCACAAGCAGGGAGGCAGCGAATGACTCGTGATCCCGGGAGATTCTGTAGCCTCGTCCTGTTTTATAATACTGGACCTAGAATCCAAATCCTGGAACTAAATATCTCTTATTTTAGTTTGTATAACTTTCAATTGAATCTGTATTCTGTGTCGAGCTTTTGCATACACCACGTCTCTGTATTATAAAATATTTATTAACCATAATGGTCTATTTTCTAATTTTTTAAAGAGGTCTTACGGTTCTTGTGTGCGGCTTGCTGCGCTTCGGAAGCCATCAATGGATCTCGATGCTCACGATTTGACAGATTTGCATTGGTTGATGGCAAGCGGAGTCCCGTGGGATGGCTTCAGGTAGGTGGTAAAGCGATGCTGGACTGTGCCCATGCGGGGTGAAAAGCATTTTCACTTAAAGGAGAATGATGAGGCGAGTGATTTTCATTCAGCCTCATCATCTGAGCCGACCCGAGACAATGAGACTGTCACACGTCGGCTCAGTAGATCGGGAAGTGAGCGAACGCCGGTATGTGTTCGCTCACTTCTCGATCCTGTGCCGGCAGAGAGCCGTGACAGGGGAGGGGCTGGATTCCCCCTTCCCCTGTCCGATCCTCCAGCGCTGACTGGTGGAACGGACAGGGGAGGGGGCGGGTACAGCTGGCTTTGCCTCTAGATAGGCAGAGCCAGCTGTCACTCACGCAGCTGGGCGGAACCAGACATAATTGTCAGGATCTGTTCCGGCTGCGACGTCTCAGTATTGTGCGAGCTGTAGCTCGCGGTATACTGAGCCTAGGGTGAAGGGAGGACGCTAGTTTGTGTCCT